ACCGCCATGCGGTGGTGAGTTTTCGTTAACACGCGAATCCCATGAGGTAGATCGTGTCTGCGTCAACCTATGTCTACGTTACGTCGTTGACTGTTGGCGCTTTAAGCTGTACTTATTTTTATTAAAAAAATAACCAAAAAACTTGCCACGAAAAAAAAATTTTAATATCCTAAAAATTCATTGATATAGGAAATTGGGAATCGAGTTCCCTCTTTTTTATAACGGAAACTTTTGCAGAGGGCTACGGATTGCAATGGCACTACGGATTGGTTTAAGGTCAAAGGTTCCTCTGCCGGTTTTTTTTGATCTCACCTAACATGACTTTACAGTCTTCTCGCTTGGTTCATAGGTCTTCTGATACGGCTGTGGTATACTCGTCAATTCCCTCAGTAGATCACAAATCGCTGGGCTCGCTGTTCTTCATTTCAAAGCTCTGTTTAGCTATCTCATTGAATACTACGTTCCCTTGCTATGTCCATGATAGCAGAAAAGTGAGACGTTGACCTGACTTACTTGGTTGTGTTAGAGAAGCGGGACTTTTCGAACAATTCTTGAATTCACTACTTTGGATGCTTAAGCTTTCCTTTATGTGACTTTTCCTCATAGACTTCCTCTTGAAAGGTACTGCAGTCGTTGGGTTGCCTGATCTACCCGTTGTTGGAAATCGTATGAGAACCCTGACTTCAAAGACCTAGAATGACGTAATGTGATTTGCCCCGGCATCTAAAACAGTCATTCAAGCTCCCACCACACTTGTGATTGCCTCATTATATGACCACCAGTAATGAAGAATTGTGGCCGTTGTGAATTTCGCTTCACTGGTTACGGAAATATTTTGATATTACGTCCAATATTCAATACAACCGTTAATTGAGCAAAGTCTTCCGTAAGTGTGTCCGATAAAAATTAAATACCATTTTTATGTTTTTTGTAGTTGCGACACTCTTTTAGCCACGCAATCGATATCACTCACCCGATAAATTCCAAAAGAAACGATTTATAACTATAGTACAACGAGCATAAGTTACGCCAAATAATAAAACCAAAAAAAAAAAAAATCTCTTACATTTGCAATAACAACAACAACAACAACGAGAGAAACATAAATTTCGCTGCATTTACACAAATTTCGAGTATTTTGCATATTTTTGCATTGTAAATGTTTGCTAAGAAACTGCTGCGTGTTGTTGTTGTTGTACTAGCTTACGAGCGAAAAACTGCCCAAATAGATTTATTGTTTCAAATTTGCGTGTGGCTATTTGTACGAGTATGTTGCATGTGCAACATGTTGCTGACGTTGTTTTTGGTCCGTTGGTCTGGTCCGCTGTACACTGCTCTCTGCTGTCTGCTGTCAATCACAAACCTAAGCCCAAACATATTTGATGCAGACAGTTGGACAAGAATGGCAACAACAGACAGCCGAAATATAAAACACGCACACACGTACATACATATGCATAAATTTATATCTCCATATGCAAGTAGTACCTATAAAAATAACAGTTAATTTTTTAAAAGTGTTTATTGAAAATTCGACTGACTGCGAATTGCGTGGGTGTTTGTAGTAATATATGAATAGCAAAAACAACAACAACAATACAAGTCAACGTTAGTGCTAATAACAAAAAAATGGTTTGAGGAAAGAAAAGCCCTACTCGCTTGGGGCATAGCATGCAACGCGCCAAATGCCAAATGCGGATATGTGGCAACAAGCAAATTTCAGTCAAACGCCGTCATTCAAATACACATACGCACATATATACATACATATGAATGTGTAAGTTTATATGCGCACTGTAAAAATCGCGACTACTCGATGTATGCATGTAAAGAGTACTCGCTCAGGGTCCAGGAGTACTCCAAACTTAACCGAAATGCATATAAAAAATGTGGTCCAATTAACATTGCCATGTACTAGGGCACGACCATATATTCCAGCACTGCATTATATCAGGAGGGTAGCACAAAACAACTTCAAGGGTTTACTCCATGGAGTACCTACCTCTTGGCAACACAACATCGTTAAAACACGAGCAACGATCGGGGTTGGTCCACTACCACATTGCAGAGGAGCATTTTGTAGGTACTCCAGTTGCGGCACAAATGCACCACATGGTCCGACGATTTTTGCAGGGCGGCTAAATTTCTGTGCATGTGTGCATGTGTGCTCGCGTGTATGTTGAAGGAAATCATTTAGCAGGAAAAAGCGAAAAATGCGAGTCAAATGTTTGCATTTACAATTCAATCGTCATTTCAACAGCCAGCAGCCAAACAGTCGGCGGTCGCGGCATTCACCGTACGTCGTCGCTTGGCCGTTGGCAGTCAGCAGCCAGGCGTTGAGTTGAGGTATGCGATGATGGTTGATGGAATTGTGGCAGACGCCATATTAGTGGGCGTCCCGCCACAATGATTTCCTAGTTTAGTTGTTGCTGTTGGTGTTGTTGCTGCTGCATTCAATACTCTTATCGCTTGTTTGTATACGTTTTAGTTTTTCTCGAAATTGGCTGCTGCATCACGCTGCATTAGGCAATACCGCTCGATTGATTGGTTTGACTGTTGATGGCTTGAACTCTGCTGCTAAAATTGCTTAATGAGCGGACGCGCGTGTATGAATGTTTGCAACATTCCCAGACACAAGTGCTGGCACATATATATGTACTTACTAATGCATTTATAGATATGCGAATTTTTATGTTTTTATTTAGTTTCTTTTTGTTTTATCTGTACCATCCTCATTGGCGTATTTTTAATTACATTTACATTTTTATATCTTGCATTTAAGTAAACTTATGCATATATCTTAATGTTATGTGTGTGAGTGTGTTTTATGACGCACGTGTTTTGGTAGCAGGTGATGTACCAGGATGAGGTTGCATCATAGTGCAGTTGCATAATCGTAGTTGTTTGATGGCTGTGAATAAATTTGTTGATATCTTTAAAAAAAATTATGATTTCCTGTTGATTGTTTTCTCGGATTTCCTGCAGAATACATAGTGTTTTAATTGAATAAAAAAAATATTGTACTCTGGGTTCTTCCCGCTTGTTTTGGTATTTTGTGTAAACTACATCAAAGGTTTTGCAATTATTTAATTTTATTTTTTACAATCGTTTTATAGTATACAATTTAACCTTCTTTATATGAAAATGTTTAACTTAAGTGACACAAAAATGAGCGGCATGTTCCGTATATCCATTTTTATATATTTCTTTCCTGGTTGGACTTGATTTACAAGCCATTTTCTTGCACTTTTATTTTGCTAGTAAATTTGGTAACTGAAGCCATTCGGCTTTTAGATATGAATATCTATTGAATGACCACTGACGGTATTTTCACCATTCTGACCATTCTATCAGTTCCTATCGCTTCCTACGCTAAATACTATGTCCAGGAGCGTGGCAAAGCGTGGCATTTCTATACAATCCCCAATTTTACTTTTTTGAATCCTACATTTTTCAAAGCCTTTCAATGAAGACAGTGGCTTTTATGGCTGGAACCGTGCTATTTAAAAAAAAAACTACCTCTACCATAACCAAAATCTCAGCTTGGAAGACGCTACAGTTACCTGGCACACGAAAAACCTAACTGGCCGGTGCCGGTTCCTTGATCCTGTTTTGAAGCACTAGTGAGGAAGTATAATCCGTCCTATTTTCCAGTTCTTAAACCGAATAGATATCCTTGCATTTAGGTCCTAATTGCAATAGTGCTTTGTAAACAGTGCTGGCTTATAAGTATTGGATTCTTGATTTCATAAAGATATTTCTTTCCGACTGAATCGAAATCTATTTTTATAAACACTACAATTTAGATGGCTGTGCTGACTTACCATTACCGTAACCGTATATAATTTTTATTTGTGACTATCGTCAAAGTAAATGGAGGCGTTTTCAAACCCAGGCTATACCATAGCTGCACCTCTAAGTGGCAAATCCTCATTGTCACACTCTAACTTCATAGGATCAAATCTCGCACCTCAAGTTGTCAAATTGCCATTTTCCCGATGGAAGACTCATCTGTGGTTTACCGCACTCAATACTCTAAATCCCAATAAAGATTTATGTATGGCAAAACCAAGCTCGAAGCAACAGGTGGAAATTTGAATAAACTGCTCGATTATCTCTCCATGATGATAAAGAGCACGACGATCCTAAAACTTTGATGACTGTGGCCTCTTCTCAACGACGGAAGAAATAATATCACGTTCGACAAGCGCCATTTTCGTCATAGTCACAATGCCTTCTTCAGCAGAAAGCTCGTTGAAGCCAGCAAAAATAGGAGTATCAAGATCAGATGTTTCACAGTTCCATAATCCAGTTTCCTTATTTTATGCTCGCAGTCGCAACAGACAAGCATAATTCCTTCAACAAGAAGTGCTGTTTTGGCGCTAGCGTTATTGCCGTACCCTAGCAAACTCCCACGAAATCACAATATCAATCGACTTGAGAAGGCACCTCAAACTCGTTACCCACGGAAAATACCCTATGCACTACTCACCCCTGCTGGGTGGTGTGAAATATAAGCTCTGCGAACTCAGCAGCAAATGGAGATTACCCAGCAAACAAACACAACCTCAACTGCTTACTTAAGCACCAGTTCTGAAACCCCATAACAGTGCAGCGCTTATGATTGGAGTAGTCATCCAGAGAACGATCGTCTTCGTTATGCGAGGACCGGTTTCATCTTCCTATATCTCGGAGATGTGTTGCTGAACTTAAAATTTCTTTAATTTATATTTAATTTATCTTCATTGTAAACTTTATTAATCTTAAATAATTAAATAAATTAAAAATTGAAAATACGTATCTTTTATTTAAACGGAAATAAATTAATTATAGTTGCTATTTATTCGCCAAAGCGTGTACAGCCCTTTACTTTCGAATATATTAAGTCCGTTATTTAATTTTTTTGCGTGAATACATATTCTTATAGATACATACATACAAACATTTTTATTTTTATTCATTCTCTGACTATTTTTTTTTGTTCGTTGGTCTTTTTGCAGGCGAAAAAACTCAAGGATTTTGAGCTGATCAATAATACAAAAAATCTACAAAATAATAATAAGTCGACCAAGCCGGAAATAGGCAATTCAAATGATAAATCAACTGCCGCTATTACAGCGGCAAAAGCAACTACAACAACAACAACAAATGAGATTGCAAACAAAATACTCAATGATACACAAACTAATCTCAAATTGAAACAATTACAAAATGTTAGTCTTAATTTAAATGTAAATGTCGATAATGAACAAATTCATAATAATATCAATAACAAAAACAACAACAACAATAACAACACAACGTCATCAAACAAATCATTAGTCATAATAAGTAATGAAAATTGTAACAACTTACTAAAAACAACAGAATATGTGCCAGTGCAACAACAAAAAGAGAGAGAGCACGCAGAAGAGAGTTCAACTGAAATAATAACCACAACAACAACAACAACACAAACACCTGCAGAAACAACAGCGGTTAGCACGACTGCAATAAACAATATGTGCACAACAACAACGGTCACAACAACAACCACACAAACAGCTGAAGCGGATAATCGACATCACAACGATATGCACGACGAGAGAATGAAGGTAAATTTGGAATGCTGTAATTACTTAATTATATAAAGTTCTCTAATGTAATGTTTTTCTTTTCATTCTGCGCAGGACAATCACTCCGATTCGGATTCGGCACTCTCATCAGCGCCACCATCCATAAGTCCACAGCCGCCGCCAGCTGGGCTGGACACAGCTGATATTTGGCAAATGGTGAGTGTGCAGTTAATTCTCTGGTTATGCCTTTTTCGAATACAAAAATCGTCGAGTTAAAGTGCAAAAAAAAACGATAAAACGTGTTGCGCACGTCAAAACAAGTTTGCCGCTTAAATCTTTTGATTAACGCAAACGTACATACTTTTTGCGTACACATGTCCATACATATGTATGTCTGTATATATTCACTAAATGAGTGATGAAGGCAAGCAGCGGATAATCTATAGCGTCACAACAAAAGCAAAAGTGATTATTCGCTTTTCTTTTTCTTGTTTTTTGTTTGCCTGAACAATTTGAATAGGTTTTACTATCTTCTGCTATGGCGGCGTTCACTTTTGGCCGATGACAATGCACTTCAACCGCGAATGGCACACTTGATCGTACAGATCCGGCTAGTGCATTCATTCCCTTTGTATTAGTTAGTGTGCATATACTTTTGTTTTTTGTTTTTTTTTTTGTTTTCGCTTAGCCTAGCACACGACTTGCACATGCTCTTTGCGGCAGGTTTTTGCTGTTGCCTTCCATGAGTTGTGTTTTTTGCATTAATTAAATTCGTCGTTGATAAGAAATACTGATTATTCACTTTCTTTTATCGCTTTTCCATCACCAGTGGCTAAATAAAAACGTTCAGCAAAAAGAAAGTAACTAAAATATAGAATTTATAAAAAGAGGCAAACTGCCCCTGAACCCGATTTTTTTTTTTCATAAATAAATTCCATGAGCCTAAAACATCTTTTTAAAGTCCCGTATGCAGGTTTCAAGAACAATCGCAAGAAATATTTTTCATTGTTTCTGTTGCTGGGAAAAGTACTTTTTCTTAAGAGCTGCATACTGATTTAAGGAATTTTGAAAAAACAAAACTTCTTTTCATTTCTTGTGATTTTTTAGTTTTTCTTGAGTGCTGCAGACAGACCTTAATACATACGTACTTACGATGGGTGTAAAAAGTTAATTTTTTCTGCAAAATCCACGCTGACAACACTATATGGATGAAACAAGTGCACTGAACTACAAAATTTCAAAATTTCATAAGTTCCTGGATCCAGGATTGATAAGCAATCTTTCGCGAATAAAGTATATAAAATAATATTATGAAACTAAAACCTTGGAGCTGTTCAGGATCTTGTGCGTATGCTCCTGCATTTGCATATTCGGTGCATTTGTAAATTCACAACAATAAAATGCACACGATTACTATTGTAGCAAGCATAAAATTTGCTAATGCAATGCCAACTGCAAATCTAATACCTTTTCCACAATATCCTGATTCTAGATTTTTTTTATTTTTAAATAGTTGCACTTAAAATATTCAAATAAAAAGGGATATCAATAACTGCGAAACGTAAAGAATCGCGACCGAAACTTTCTGGGGTTTACATATATGCTTGTGTTGGTTGATTTTACCAACAGCGTAAGAAGTACTAATGTATTTTGGAACGAACTTCTGTAATCCCTTGCAGCTTTTTATTATCTTCGGTATAATTTTTCGCTTTCGAATGAATTCTAATCCTTTCTCTTGAGCCAGTGTACCTATACAAAACAATCAGAAAATTTATTATTCTTTACAATTACATGGAAGTGAAGCTTCGCCGATGCAAGCACTTAAAAGTATAAGCAAGTCTTAAATTCAAAGCCATATGCCCTTTCTTTAATTTGCCTCATAATTTTTAAGAAATCTTATTGCTAGAATGAAAATTATGTAAAACTTATTCGTAGTGTACGGTTGCGTTTTGTTTCCATCAAAACAAAGATAAATAATCATTATATAGCTAACTAATCGTAACTAAAGACGACATATAATTTAAGAGTTCTTTGCTAGATGATTTTCTTTGATTTTTTTTAAGGAACTACGAAAAAAACAATGCTTCTGAATACTTCATATTTTTTAGATGTAATTTAAACATGAAAGGCGCACAGCTTCTATTTAATTAGCAATTTTTTGTATGTACTCTTTGTGTGGGCTTTTGCCCACTGACAACAGCAGTATCTTTATCTAAAGCCACCACCAAGTAAAACTCCAATTGAATGGTTAAGCCTTAAGATAAAAATACACAATGCAACAAATTCTCCACTGAAATAAATGTTTTTCTACACCAATAAAAGAATAATATATCGAGGGCTTATAAACTTCTTTCTGTCATCACTAAAATTAATTTTAACTTTACAATTCTATAACAAATTCTTCATACAATCGATATACAAGGTCAACATTAACATCAGTGATGACTATTAAGCTAAGGATTTTTATATCAGAATCTCCTTTTTATGAAAATTGCAGATAATATTGAATATAAGCCCTCGACATGTACACACACATTTGGTGCCTACACATATACAGACTTGTATTTTTTGCCGCCTGTTAATTGACACTCGGAGGTTTGACTTGTCATCCAACTTTGATCTTATCGACTGCTAGTAAGCAACTCTAACCACTCGCCTAAATCGCTTGTCTTTTTTTGCACAAATCGCTGGCTGGCTGGCTTCATTTTCACCCATATACTCATCCTGTCGTGATTTGTTATTCAAATCGGGATAATATCCTAATTTTAACTCTACATCCCTTCGGAATAAAATTCTTAGATTTTTTGTTGCACAGTGTCACACATACATACATGTGTTCTTAAAAAACAAGAGTAGACGTTCCGATCCTTTTAAGTTTTTTATTGCCGCCGACCAAAATTGTGTAAATCAGTGTGGCGAAAAAGTGCCTGGCAATTATTTCAGGAATTAGTGTTTTCGGTGTAATGCGTGTTTTTTTTTTCTTGTCTTCTCTTTGTGGCACTAGAAGTGAGATTGTAAAGTGATATACAATTGTATATGCATGTGCATGACTGTACTTACTCTATGCGTAGATATGTTTGTGGCTGTGTGATTGAGAATTGCCGCAATCAGTAAATTGCCATAGAGTCAGCTAAGAAGCCAGCCAGAGTGGCAGCTTACGCCAAGAAAGTCAATCAGACAGACGCGCCGCTGTTGGTCGCGCAACACTCTTTGCAACCCATTGGCCTAACGAGTATGCGGCGAGACAAAGTTAATGGCGATTTTTATGGCTGCTCGTTAATGAACCTGTGAGGCTGGCTGTAAAGGGGCTGCATATGAACAAAGAGTGCAATAAAAAGCGCAAACATGTGTGTGAGTGATGTTATGCAAAGCCACAGCATAGCAAGTATAGATGACAAAAGCGATTTTATGTTAAGTAAAGCTTTTGTTAAACAACATTTTGAGAAAATTGCGTTCATGTTTTTCAAGTAGTAAGTGCGCCAATTTTTTGCATTAATAACAATTTCTTGTAAATTTTGCCGTAATCGCTTGCAGTGAGACACCTGAGAAAATTTATATCTAAATGTTATTTCAATTCTTACTCCGCTTAACATTTACAGATTCGCACCTACAGCACTGATTTGCAAAAACTGCAAAAGGATAATGAAATCTTGCAGAAGGAAAACGAACATTTACATGCGGAGCTGAATTTGGCCAAGGAGCATATACTCGATGCCGAAAAAACCAGCATGGATGTGAGTTTTATATATTTACATATTTGTGCTTTGAATTGCAATCTAATTTTTCTGCTTCAATTCAACAGATCAACAATAATGCCAAATTACAACAACTCATGGCACGTGTGAAACAACTCGAGGAGCAGGAACATCAATTGAGCACGGAGGCGGATGAGTTGCGCGAACAAAATGAACTGTTGGAATTCCGGATACTCGAATTAGAGGAAACGAATGATAAGGTAAGTAAAGTGGCTTTAAATGTGCGCCTGAATGTAGGCAATAGTGGATAGTAAGATGAATGAAGAACTACAAGCTGTGCGAGTAGGCAATTGAAATCATTAACAGAGCTGTGAACAGTGAATTTAGCCGCTGTTAAGCGTAAGTCTGTAAAGCCGGCACAGAGAAAACTAATGAAAACATAGAAAATATAAAAAAGCTATGTGAATAGTGAAAATGACATTTTTGCGTCGCCGGTACAGCTAAAACTCAGATCGAATATTTTGCGAAAGAAAGTGGAACAATTTCCTGGAATCCAGAAGTTCTTAGCTCATTCATGGAAAAAAACAAATTTGACATGTCGTCGCTACCATGTCAAACTATCGAATGTGCAAAAATGCTTTTTCATTTACGATACCTTGCGCATGCGGGTAGAATCATATGCATGTTGGCAAATCGTAAAATTTCTAGTCTTATTTGAAGCAGAGGATACAAAGTGTCGAATCCCACACTTTTTCCGAATGACAACAACATTTTTTACAGCCGTTTTTTTGCTATCCTAAAAAATACACATTTCCACATTCGATAATTTGACATGGTAGCGACGATGTCTTCACATTATAAAGAATTTTTATTCCATTTAATTGTTAAGGAATTTTGAGTTTTAGTATGAATTCAGAAACATTGAAAGGTTGAGAAATGTTTATTGGGAAACAATAAAATGTGCAGGAAATTGCACTTTTTTCTTAATGGGTGATTTTAGCAGCATCGGCCCATTATTTGTGCTTTTGTATTTCTGGGCTAATAAGGCGGCCCTGAATCGCGGCATTCGTAATGGAATGATTACTCTTTTCGACTCGAATCGAATAAATTCCCCAATTATATTAAAAATAATGTAGCGCACTCGGCAAAAAATGCAACCGTGTATGTATGCCTGATCAATACCTAACTTTTTAGCTTCCAATATGGCTAAAAACTAAACCCTAAGAATTTGGTGCAAAAATATATTGACATTTAGAGGACGTTTTGTGCCTCCGCATCAAGTGTTTAAAATTACTCTTCCTTCAATGCTTGCGCGCACGAAATCCTTCTAACAATTTGTTTTCAAGGTCGCTGAACACGTTGGGCGAGACAATTTTCGCATCCGGTACTGGAATTTTGAGATGTGTATTAAGAAAAAGTCTTTAAAAAACAACAATAAAAATTCACAAATCGCACTTTAAAAAGTGATTATTTCTTAGAAAAAAGTTTCGCAATTTTTCATCATTAGTAATATTTATAGCTACTACATTGACAAACAAACTGAGCTATCACAGGGGGTACTAGGTTCGTTATATTTTGAAATATTACAAAAAAATCTGTAAAAAAAGAAAACAAAATGTTAAAACTGCGCTTTAAAAGGTGATTATTTTTTAGAAAGAAATTTTCAATCTTTTATCACTAGTACGATACATAGCCTCATTTTTTGCAAACAAAATGTGCGTTGTCGTATATGTAGAAAAAATTTATGTAGATTTTTCGTCAAAACTTTTGAACAAAATTTGGCAATTAAAATAAACCCAAGGCAGAAACACTAATAGCTGTTCAAAAAACTTAAGTTCAACAGGAAATTTTCCCAAATTTTTTTCTGAATTATATTTGTCCTTAATAAATGCCTTCAAAACCCCGTCTTATGCGTAATAAAACTAGGTATAATTTATTAAAATCAACAAAAAAGTGCTGAAGTTATGACCCCTCAACCTCTGAATGCAAATAAAATAAAAATTAAACATAATTTGTCTTAGAGCCTGATTTCTTCTTTTAAAAATATATCGAGATTACTCTGTTGCAAATATTCTGTAGGTCAGTGTTCCGTCCGTGGTCCAAGAATCGAATAAAGCATATTTTTCGATATACTTTTCCTAAGGTTAAAAAATTGCAAGTTTTCAATGCTCACAATACCCTCGCCTATTTTCAGTTTTCATTTGCCTTCTAATCGCGTATTATGTATTCCGTAAACTGCACGTGTTTAAATGACTAATAAAGGATTATTTGTTTGTGTACATTTTTGCACATATATAGAAAAATTTTGCGACGCCAAAATCCAATTCATTCATTCGTTTGAACTGCTGGTCAATAAAAATGGTCCATTCAGAAGTTTTCATGTTGCAACAACACAGAATGCCTTGTAACTAATCTCATTTGACGTTGTTGTTATTTTTCATTACTTTTTTTTTTGGCACTTAAAAGCGTTTCCAAATTGCCGCCTGCTTGTTGGCTCCTGGCTATTTGTTTTCCATTGGCACCGACATTTGCGCGCCTTCAGCGCCAGTAACGCGGCGTGAAATCAATAATCGTATTACCAACGCCAACTTTACCAAGCGACGCTGTTGCCGCAGTGGCGATATGCGCACTGCGATGAATGAACTCACAATCAGTGACGTTTGTTAAGATACTAGTTCGATAGCGAATTGAGTCATTCGCCAAGCAGCTGTGGCAAGAGTGGCAATTGGCAGAGCAGAACAGGCGTCCATTGGACAACGAACAATTTGTCAGTGACAGTGACCGGCAGGCAAGCAGCAATAAAAATTGAAAAGTTGTCATTGCACTGTGTTGCCAATAGATTGAGATTTGATTTTTTTGTGCCAAATAAAATACGATTTCATACATACATAGATGCGAGCGCAAGCATGTGCGCTGAATTAGTTAAAGGGTGTATATACATATATATGTACAATATGCGTGTCTAAAGTCCACTTTCTGACTGATCGACTTTTGGCTTTACTCGAAGAAGGGTGGGTGTTGCTGCTTATTTATGTGCAATCACACAAACAATCGCAGTTATGTATGCATGCACATATATACATACAAATGTACGTAGCCACGGACACTTAGATCAGATATATGCAACTTTTATTCATATTTGGTGAAATCTCTGAAATATTGTCGTTCTCGTTCATAAAATGTTAAAGAATACTTTATAAAATGGCATTTCATAAAAATTTTCGATTTATAAACCATTAAAATTATTCTTTATTTTTTAATGATAAGGCCATTAAAATTTTGTGAAAGTTTAACTCCCACAAATTAAAAAAAAATATATATTTATATTTGGACAATGAGTAATAAACTTATGGTTCAAATCGGTGGGAGAAAATGATTTGATTTTATTATAATTTAAAAATAAAAATTGATGCTTAAAATGCAGGAAATTTAAAAAGTTTATAAACCATGTTACCTTTTCGAATTTAACCTAAGCTATGTACATACGTATGCATAAATAAATACAGTGGTATAGCAGAGAATTACCTCACTTATAAGCCATTATTAATTCCATATCCATATTGCTTGAGATAGAAAGAATTAGTGACACACAAAAGACTTAAGCAACGAACTTGGTATTGGTAGTGTAGACCAGTGCCAGGCAGCTGCATAGTGGCACCGCGAGGCAATGTGCACTATGTGTGCCATGTGTGTGTGTATTTTAGCTGGCACTGGTGTAGACCCTCTTCACATCATTTGAGTTTACTTTAGAAGAATAAATCGTTTTTCGCAAATATTTAAAGGATTTACTATGTTTAGCTACAAATCAGCCCACAAGCGGCAACTTTTGCTATAAATACATTATTTGTTTGTTCAAATGCTGCCGCCTCTGTGTCTTGAGTTTATTGTGCCCACACTATCTACTAAAAAGACATGCCACTCGAGTGATTTATTGGCGCGCTTTAAATGGTCGCACTTAAACGAGTAATTCGTACATCATTTCGTATTCCACACACAAAAACACAATGCCAGTAGAAAATAGCAATTAATTTGAAATAAAGCAAATTATTTTTTCTTATACATAAATGATGTGGAATAATTTCGTTATTTATAAATTCATAGCTGTTGTGCGAGTCGCGTTCTATTTCTGCATATTTTTAAGTGATTTACGTCAGATACAAAAGTGAAGTTCCATTGTGTTTTGTGCGCAATTTTTGAATTTATTTACACATTCTACATGTCTGTTGGCACCTACATACATATGTAAACCCTTTTGAGACATTGGTTACTTGTCGTCAAAACAAAAAATCTTGTATCAATGGGCCAACCCGATTTTACGTCGTCTCTAAAAGGCACAGTGCTCTTGATTACAAGCATACATATACTCCCACGTGTCTTTACATAATTTGCTATGTGCATACGCATGTGTTTTGTATTGTCATGTTTTACAATGACCATAAATGTGCAAAGGTATGGTATTTATGTACTCTGAAGGTAAGTGCAATATGTAGCCTCTTACACGTTTATAGCTTTTGTCGTGATTTGAGAAAAACTCTTTCGTTCTTTTTGTTTGCCAATCTATTCTTTTATATGCAAATTTATGACACAGGAGTATATTGGCCTGACCCATTCGCCTACTAAGCTACTTCTTTGTGCTGCTTTCAGAAAATTTTGACTCCATTGATTAACTTGAAATATGGTATGCGTTCTTCCTGTGGGATCAGTCTAGTACTCTTCTAAAATACCTACTTTTCTCTTAAGCTTTGTTTATGTTAATCAGGCTGCATGCAGTTTTTTGTGCTTAGTGATACCAGATGAAGATCTTAGTGAGTTTATAGCAGTACGTGGCGGCTGGGGTCCTTCTCCGTAGATATCTGAATAGCCACCACCTATCTTGAATGCGTGTGCCAACCAACTGTCATAGATTACACTCGCAGTTTTGCTGGTAGGTAAAATATTTCACCGCGAAATTACTTATCTCTGTGGTATATTGTCGATATTTTATGTGGCTCTTTTTAAGTTTTTACGTTGCTTAAGTATTTGCTATCCAAAGGTACTGCTTACCTTTGGCAATGTCCTCTACTATTTCGAATCTTTCGATGGCCTTTTGGCCTAGCCTATACTACTTTCGTGCTCCTTAGGAATTTTTGAACGAGATATTATATATGTACATACGTTGATTGCCCTTATTGATTCTTGACTAGCAACGTAAACAATAAATGCGTATTTCATATAATCCGATATCTTACCTTTAATCCACTATAATTAATAGCGCGTGATA